GCTTTCAAGATCATTTTGACGACTTTCGATTAAATTATTCCAAAATTCATTTTGGAGTGGGATCAGTAGAAGGAACAAATGCACATGTTTTTGTTTCTATTGCTACGGGAACAAAGGAGGGTTATCACGGAAACACGCCGTGTAAAACCGGAATGCTGAAGATTCTGAATCGAATATCCGAGTCTCTTTCATTCGCGCGTGGAGAATTTATTTCAATCAAGAAGTTGTACTTCCCGGGGGTTCTCTAGCTCTCTTGTTCTTCACTCTCCTAAGGTTTTCTTTCTCTTTCTCTTTATTGTTTTGGATTTTGTTCTCATAAATGGTTCTTAAGTGGGTGTCAAGTGGATAGTTGCAATGATATATTCACCACTTTGACACAAGTTTGGAACATTGATGAAATGTATTGTGCAATAAATAGCCAAATGTCAAAGCATGAGCAGAAATTACAATGTTGAAACTAGAGATCTAAACTAAACTAGTCATTGAAACCAAAAACTGATTTTTGGACTAAAGATTAAGTAACGAGAGAAGAGTGCATTTACACATTATTTAGCAGTTCACATGAGAGTCTTTCTAATGAAAATAAACACGATACTCTTTATCACTCTCTAGCCCCTACTTCGAAACTTACTAACTACAGTAGTTGTTAAATTATTCTCGTTCTATTCGTGTTTCTTTCTTTACCCTCGAGGACCTTCAAGAGTGGTTATCCTGTGAGTAATGCTCTGCCGACCTGTAGTTGCCACATGGTTAACTTGGCCTCCTCGGCCGAAAAGATTGCACCGTGCTGCGAGACAGATTTTGGTGGCTAGGGATCGAGCGACCTTCGGCTTGTTTCTTGTAAATACTCGACATAGTAAATCATATTGAAATATTAAGCTCAATCTCTTGGGATGCTATCGTTTACCGAGGTATTGAACCTTGCTTCCCGGAAGGTTTACTAGCTTAGGTAAGCTTCCAACTTGAGCGATAAGCCGAGCAGCAAGTCGTTCCCCAAGCAGTCCAGTCAGATGAGGAACAACCACGTTCATCCTCGAAGTAAAAGCTTGTTGAATGTCATCTCTTATCTTAAGAGTGGAGAGATACTCAGCACAGAGTTCCTTGGAAGCAGCCACGTCGTTATCATAGAAATCTACCTCAATGGATGCAATAGTTACTTCCTTCAAGTCAGCTTCAACTTCTTGAGTTAGAAACCGCACTTAAAACCAGAGAAGCACTAGCGAGCCATTAATCTTGACTTTCTACACATATATTTACAACGATGAAAATTACATACATGGAAGTCTTGATCTGCAACATCTATTTTGTTTCCCATCAAGATAACACACCTTGCATACAGAATAACGTCTCGTACTATCATAGCCAACTCGGGCAAATTTTGGCCCAAAAAAATCTTTAAGCGACATCCCTGTCTGGTTAACTTGTGGGTCAAGAGCATCGAGGGAACCAATCAATGAGATAAGTGGCGTGACGTCCTAACCAAAAAGAAAGTAAACAACAGGATTATACGCAAATGCAAGACACAAATCAAAGCCACACTGAATTAATGAAATAACAAAATACCATATGTTCTGGAGAGATTCTCTACATCAAACTCAAATCAAGTTGTCCTTGTACTTCACCAAAATGAATCCTACCTGTTATCAGGAGCTTAATCGCAGACTTTCGCTTAGCGCATTGGATTCCAAGCCTAACATTGATTTCATTACCCAACCTTGCATCTCCCACGGCTAGGGATTCTACTTCGGAATCAAAGTAGTATTTCAGAAATCTGAGATGTGGGGAGAGACGGCGGTCCCCCAACATATTGATTTCTTCATCATGACGATTTGCGTTCTTAAACCTCGAAAATGCCAGCCTCTGGACTGTACCATTTCGTATCCTAAATAGGCAATATCCATCCGGTAGTGCCAGTAGTCCGATCATCTCGGTGAAATCTCAGTGATTCGTTGATATCTCTCTGATTCAGTGAAATAGGATCTCGCTGAAATTTAAGCGGTTACAAAAAAAAAAAAGGAGGAGATGACAAATTGAGATTAGAAATTACAAATATATCTGTGGGCTTGGATATTTCATAGGTTTGGCCCAAATGTTTCAAGTCTCGGTTAATTCCATTTTCAATAGGACACGCTAGAATTACTAATCAATTTTCAGTATATATACTAATCGAAGAGACACTAAATGAAAAAATCCTATTTATCATTTAATGAGGATTTCAAGAGACATATCATTAAATTTAACCAATCAAAACATTTCAATTAAATTTATATGTTATGGTCAAATTCTCTACATATTTTCATTAATTTAATAAAAAAACCCTATTAATATATGTTTTCCAAATTTAAACCCAACTAAATGTAATACTTATGATTTATCATATCATCTATAGCAATACATTTTTCTGATATATTGACAATATTTTTATAGTTATATTTATAAACATATTATATATTGTGTATATATGTTCTTAGATTATTGTATTATACATATATTTTTATTATGATATACTCTATTATACATGTTTAATCAAATTTACAAATATTTCTTTATTTTATTACTAAAAAACATATATTTTGTGTTTCATTTGTTATGTCTGACAAGTTCATATAAATATAAAATTTATTTGATTTATCGTATGCTCTATCATTTACACGAATAATAAAGATCAATTTACACTTAAAAATATATTAAAATAAATAACATTTGCATATATTTTAATCAATTTACACATAAAAAATTAAAACTCATGGCTTGATCAAAAATATTCAACTTTGTGCACAACACATATCATTTTTTATGTTTAATTATAGATTATATGTTTTGTCATACATATTTAAATATTAAAAAAATTGTATATATTAAAATTGATTAGCTATTCTATTTAATTTTTTAATCCCACGCTTGGCGTGGGTTAAAATCTAGTCTTATTATATAAAGGAGGATGCGCACGATGAGAATACGACACATAAGCGAAATGAGATGTATCGAAGAAGAGAATGTACTCAAGACTTGCCTTGTACATACTAAGCCGTCCATCTTCCTTCATAATGCATTTACACCTGATGGTTGCATTGGGACGAGTATAATGCGATACCTTCACAATGTATGTTTCCTTTTCCATGTCTATACAGAATTTATGGCTTGGTATAGCCTTAGACTTAATGTTTTGTATGAAAGAAGTTGGAACGTCCGTAGTGAATATCTTATACAAGTATATTTGCGAATATGGACGCCTAGATTTATTTTATGAAGTATGTGTTAGAATTAAAACAAGGGAAAATGATATTCTAAGATCAGAATTTGAAATGCTTACCCATGAGAGAAATTTTTTCCAAACCTAGCAACCAATCTCAATTTAGCAGTATCTAAAAGATGATGAGACTCCATTTTCTTCTTAGCTCGCTCATATGCCAACACAAGATCCTCCTCGACCTTCTCTGCTACTAAGAGCCACCGAGTTCTCTCTTCCTCTTCGCTCCCTTCAGTTATCATATTCGCTGAATAAAAAAAAATAAAAACCACACTGTGACATTTGGTTTGGAACACAATAACACGATAAGATACTCTGTTTTTAAACTAGCTTAACATGTTTACATTCTCCATTCTTATTTT